CACTCCCGGCACTCGTAGGGTTTTTCCCCCGTGTGCATCCGGCGGTGCTTGGTGAGGTCGGATTTTTGGATGAAGCCTTTGGAACATTCCGGGCACTTGTAGGGTTTCTCCCCCAGGTGAGTCCGTTGGTGCTTGATGAGGTTGGAGCGAACGCCGAAGCTTTTCCCGCATTCCGGGCATTTGTAGGGTTTCTCGCCGCTGTGAAGCCGCCGGTGTTTGGCCAACGCCGAGTTCTGCCCGAAGCTTTTCCCGCATTCCGGGCACGCCAGCGTTTTCCCTCCGCTCTGCCTCGCCCCACCCGTCGAATTCCCGACGCTCCATCCCGAATTTTCCCCGCCTTTTCCCTCCTCTCCCCGCTCCGATTCCTCCCCGCCGTCACCGCCCTCCCCTCCCGAAATCCCGCAGCGCTTCTGGAAGCTTCTCCCGCTTTTCCCCCCCTCCTTCTTCCCGCATTCCCGGCACGGCTCCCCGTGGATTTTCCGGTGCCGCTCCAAGTGGGAGCTTTGGGAAAATCCCTTCCCGCAATTCCCGCAGCGGAAGGGTTTCTCCCCCATGTGGATCCGGCGGTGCCGATCCAAGTGGGAACTCCAGGAAAAGCTTTTCCCGCATTCCCGGCACTCGTAAGGTTTTCCCGGAGCGTGACCGCGCCGGTGCTGCGCCAACGCCGCCGCCGCGCCGAACCCCTTCCCGCATTCCCCGCATTTGTGGGGTTTCTCCGCCGCTTCCCGGCGTTTCTTCGGGATTTGGGGATCCCCGCCGTTTTTTGGGAACCCCTTCCCGCATTCCCCGCACTCCTCGCACCTCCCGCCCGTTTCCGCCGCCGCGTGGGTTCGGCGGTGCCGATCCAAATGCGAGCTCCACGAGAAGCTCTTCCCGCATTCCGGGCACTCGTAGGGTTTCTCTCCGGTGTGAATCCTCCGGTGCCGCTCCAAGTGGGAATTCCAATTAAACCCCTTCCCGCAATCCCCGCACTTGTAGGGTTTCTCCTCCGAATGAACCTTCTGGTGCTTCACCAACCCCGAACTCGCCGGGAAACTCTTCCCGCAAACCCCGCAGCGGCACGGCGCCGCGCCGCCGTGGATCCGCCGGTGCTGGATGAAGGCCGAGCCCACGCTGAAGGATTTCCCGCAATCCGGGCATTTGTAGGGATTTTCCCCGGAATGCCGGCGTCGGTGGGTCACCAAGCCGGAGCTCAAACGGAAACTTTTCCCGCATTCCTGACACTTGTGGGGCCGCTCCGTCCCTCGCCGGCGTTTGGGCGCCGCCAGGGCTTTGCCGCAGTCGTGGCAGCGAAAATTCCGGAATTTCTGGGGTTTCCCGCGGCGTTTCCCCGGGTTTTTCCGGGGTTGGGGTTCCGGTTTTAGGGTCTCGGCTTTGGGGGTTTGGGGGTTCTGGGGGGATTTGGGGTTGGGAGCTGGCGGCGGCGGCGTTCCGGGGATTTCGGGTTTTTCCAGAGGTGCTGGGGGCGGCTCTTCCTCGTCGTTGTCGCTCGGAGA